TTCGGTCCCTGCTTCCTAGGATCACTACGACAACTCCAAATGCACTAGAAGACAAAAAAAATGCGGGATTTAATTTTAATCAGACTTTGCAAAACCTTTCGAAAGTGGACCCAGGCGAAATACGTAAAAAATAGTGAAGGGGAATAACAAAAAGTGGGTAAAGGGATTAAAATTTTCCCACTAACAAACACAGGGGGTTCGTCCCCGAGTAAAGTCCGAGACAGCTACGTGAAAAGCTCTGTTCCACAAGGCACATACCGCTCCATTTTGTTCCTCATCTCATATCCGACATAGACAAGATGTCACCACAGCACCGTTCTTCCTTTGCAGATGGACACCCGAATCTGCATACAGTGTCTTCCCATTGCAGACACTGCAAACTCCAGGCCCGGACACAACCAAAATCTTTCAGTGGCTGCAGAAAAAAATATGAATTCAACGTTTAAAAAATTTTCAATTACCAATATGGTAAACATAGGAAATTAAATCTTCATCAAGAACAAAACAAATTCTGGCACAAATAGAGCAAACCCCAAACGTCAAAGACCTGGGATGATCATGTCGGGGGATCTCCCCTTCAAGACCATAATTGTATCAATCGCATCTGCTGAAAAATGAGACGGGAAATGGATAATGAAACCTTCAAAAAGGGGGGCCAAGCCCATAATGACACTTTTCAGTCACTTGTTCTATCTAGGCTGGAATATTGCTGCACACTAACAGCAACTTTCAAGGCAGGTGAATTGCCGACCTAGAAAATTACAGAAGACTTTCACGCGTGCATAACGAGATCAAAACACCCAATTAATTGGGAGCGCTTGAGGTTCCTAAACCGTATTCCTGGAACGCGGAGGAGAGATACATGATTGTATCACCTGGAAAACCCTAGAGGGACTAGTACCGAACTTGCACACGAAAATCACTCACTACGAAAGCAAAAACCTTGGAGACGATGCACCATCCCCCAATGAAAGCAGGGGTGTCACTAGCACGTTAAGGACCATACAAAAATGTTGGGGGCCCGAGACGTTCAACTGCTCCAGCACATAAGGGGGTTTACCAAAAAGACCCCTGGCACTTCAACCCTGGAAATGGACAAGACTAAAGTCATTTCCCTGATCAGGGTGTGGCTCGTACTTTGGGTTTGCTTTGCGCAGCGGCAACACCTGGTTATCAGGCTCTATCACCGGGGAGGCCTGGTCCAGACCGGGCCGGGCCGGGGCGGGGTTGAATTTTCCGGAATTCTCTAAAGGTAAAGGTAAAGGTAAACAAAGTGAAGCGTCAACAGTGGCATGACTAGTAAGCAACTGCTACTAATGTGCGTGTTGTAGATGAATGGTTCAAAGAACCGACACATTGTTAAATTAGACACATGTGCAACTCTTGAGTATCTTTATTGAGGAAACGTTTCGCCACACAGTGGCTTCATCAGTCCATACAAAGGATAAACTTGAACAGGAGGAGAATGAGGTAATCAGTCCCTCAACCTTGAGACGATGTGGTCAATCCATCAGTCTTGAATAGAATACGGCATATGAACGGAGAAGCAGCTTATAAACCGTATGGCAGGAGAGGTGCAGCAGTCGTAGGTGGTGTCACATTTGTCTAATTTGGAAGTAGGTCGTCCCCAAAGGGTTAGGAAAGCGAAGAATTCCAAGTATTAAAGATCCCAAGAAGTTTGCAGTGTTCTGACAGGATTGTAGATGAATGGTTCAAAGAACAGACACATTGTATTCTATTCAAGATTGATGGACTGACCACATCGTCTCAAGGTTGAGGGAATGATTACCTCATTTCCCCCTGTTCTTCAAATTTATCTTGTAGGATGATGAAGCCACTGTGTGGCGAAACTTTTCCCTCAATAAAGATACCCAAGAGTTGCACATGTCTAATTTAACAATGTGCGTGTTCTTGGATGAACTGCGGGAGAAGTAATGGCTAATAGTCCATCAAGCGCGCCTCCTGGAAAGACCGGCTACGTTGTAAATAGAGGCAAAAAAAAAGTAGGAGGGTAGGAAGGAGAGAGTCCCATAAACTACAACAGTGGTTCTTCACCTATTTTGGTCAAATTGGGTGGCGACCTTACACCCTATCGCTGTTGGTTTTTATCTCCACGACCTCCTCACTCTATATAAAATTCTAAATGTAAAAAATTAAGTCCTTTTTAGTTACATAGGAAAATTGAGAAATTAGTTTCCATTCTCAACTTGATTATTTTTCACTAGTCATAAGAATCAGTTTGAGCAAATTGTAAATGCACGTTTATTTTTGCTCCTGGTTCGTCCCCCATCCCCCTGGAAATTACTCACACACCCCTCGGGTAGGCCGAAGTCCCCCTGACGTCAAAGAACCGCTGGGCTAGGCTCACTGCCAGTGACAGTCAATTTACCACTAATTGTTATACTCATTTTTTCCCAGACACCGGTAAGCCAGCAGAAGGCATTAATTCAGTGACCAGCAGCTCCACTGAGCGAGTCTCTCACAAGTGACTAACGCCTGCTTCAAGAAATTTCCCTGACAAATAAAATACCCTCTACCAGCCTCGACTTCAACGAGCGTTAAATAACAGAAGTGCGAGATACGTCACAATGGTTCATCCACTAGATTAGAGGTTTGCGAAGCATGACGTCATTGCAAAGTTAAGTAATGAGGGCGTGAGAGGTTTCATTATCCACCACAATCGACTCTTGTGTCATCACTCTCGCTTTTTCTCTGCTCGATCCAAACATTCAAACCGAGCCTGGCATCACATATACTCATGATGCAGCAGTCCCAGTCGATGCCAGCAGTCACGTGAAGCTTACACAAGTCTAATAGAGCACTGCATTAGG